AAAATTCCAACTTAAATGCACCATAAAAAATGGTATACTAAAATTTTTTGGAATACTTTTTTTTTTAAATCTTACATAATCTCTTACGGAATATTAAAAAAAATTTTATGAAGCTAAAACTGCAGTAGAATATTTTTAAAACGAATAAAAACGGTATGCTGGTATTACCGTGGTTGTGTACCTATTACCGTGTACGTATAGGGTTATGTTTACGTACGCTCACCGCGGAAATACGTACACAATCAGTTAATGAGCGCGTTGTACCGAATACCGTGGAAAATAATTATTTACTCAAAACATACACAAAAATTTCTGTTTGAATTGCATCTACATTAACGTCATTTTAGATTTTTAAAGTTAGAAAATTATTTTATATGAAACATTTCTTATTTTGAGCAAGTAATCATCAGTTTTTCAAAATCCACGGTAATAGGGCAGAGCACGGAGATAGGTACACTTACACTTACCCCTACATACCATAACCCCCTACAGTAGTTACTGTAAAGTAGATATGTGTTATTACACATGTGTTACGAACAGGAATCCTGTTTGGAAAGCAAGCGGAACAATGCGGACCTCAAAATTATCTTGTACACGAACGAGCGACTAGGGACCAGTGGCGGGACCAGATAGGGTCGAGCATTTGCGTAAATGTCGAGGCGGAGGGCCGCTAATCAGGGTAGCGTAAAGTCGTTACTTGCTGTCACGCCAACCAAAGTATATTCATGCAATCCCGTGCCCCAAAGTGGCTTGACTCTGATGAGGATTTAAAATATCTGGGTAGGAACGTCAAGGACGACCTACGCCGTTCAGGTGGTAGGTGCTCTGCCTCAGCATCATAAGTAATAAATTGATTACAATTCCGGATACAGACACTGGTCGCAGTCGGTCGTTCGTCTTATGTATAATTCAAGTGTATATGCGTATATTTAAACGCTGGCGCCGACACTCAGGATAGCATGTATATACCTATAGGTATAGGCATATAAAAGAAAGAGAGAGCGTGAGCATAGGGTTGCGCCGGTGCGTGGAGGGAGCTCGCGGCGTGCGAGTACTGCGAGTGGAACGAGGCAGTACTGTGTGAACCGCAGAGATAGGTAGGTGTCGGCGTCTAGCGTCTTTATATTTTATTTCAATAAAGCCAACATTATTGTCTTAATTCTTGTTTTTCTCCTTCGTTTGAATCTGACCCCGCCTTCCTCGTTTATTCGTCAACAACATGTATACGGGTGATTCCGTCGTAACTGGCTCAAATCGTGTCCGAAGCTCGTGCGACGTTTGAGCTAAAATTAACTCTGCTTGCAGTGCCAAGACATCTTAAATTTTATGAATTCTGAATTACTTACGGATGTAACCGATTTCTCGTCCATTTCACGAAGAAAATTGCAAAAATTACCTCAAAATGTCAGTTCCGGTCTCCGTCCCAAAAGTCAACTTTTCAAACAAAAACGCTCGCATACCAGAATAAAGTTTTTTCTCGGAATTTTTGCACCTACATTATAAACTGTAGGTATTATAGATTATATTTACACTGAAATTACCCATGCTTTTAGCAAATAAGTAAAAACGTGTAATGGTGTAATGCATTATTTTTGTCCCCCGATTTACATCTTTACATGAATATTGTGACCATAGACATATAAAAAATAGACTACTCGTTCTTATGTACGGCACTGAAGCACAAGTAAAAAGAGACACAACATTGAACGTGTGTATCTGTCTCTCTCGCACGTTGCCAACGGTAAAGAGGTTGCATTAGCTGGCCTTACTTTACTGACCTCTACCGATGGTAACGTGTGAGAGAGACAAATATGCACGTTCGATGTTGTGTCTCTTTCTACTTGTATCGCACATAAGAACAAGCAGTCTATTTTTTATATGTCTATGCTATTTCGCAGCTGTGTTTCGTACCATGGGACTGCTGTGACTGTACCCTTACACTGTTCTTCGGAAGTTTCGATATTCGATTGCTTTTACATGATAGAAAATGCCAAAGGATCATGTGACTACGTCATGTGATAAAAGCAAGACGTCAGGTGCCAAGACCGCCTGGTCCCAGTGATATAAACGATAGGAATTATTAAAGAAAGTATTACCAGTCGATCCAATTAAGTTTCACGAGGCTGTGCAAAGCATTCATTCGATATTCTCACCAATAAAGCTTTCCGCTTCTCATCGTGCTGTAGTCTGACACAAAATGCGTGTGCCGATCATAGTTGCACTTCTAGCGAGATTTGCCTTTGCTGTGGCGACTAATAACGTACCAGTGATGCTTTGGTGCAGTAACTGTCAAATTTCCATGACTAATTTTGTCAACCCCTTGAATAAGATTTCCAGAGATGAGTTTGAAGGCATTCTGAAGATACTTAGCAGAGCTAGGCTTCCCATCCTGGTCTTTCTTAAAGACAACTTCTGTGTAGATGACGTGAAGCGACACCAGCAGGTAATGTCATCCGTTTTTGTGCCGTACGTGTTTGCGATAAATCACGAGTTATATATTTTTCTTAAAATTGAAACCTTACATTTATGTTTTATCTTTATGAAGAAAAATGCAAAAATGTAGGCGGTAAGACTACTGGGCCACCTAAATCCATTAACTTACTACCTTGTGCTTCTTAGTTTCATAAGAGTGTCCATAATTCATAAGGGCTGGTATGTTTTAACCATCACTTGATGAGATGAACTTCAAATTAAGTTATTTGAAAAGTTGGTTAATTTCTTGATTAACTTAAAACAATTAAAGCATTTTTTCTATGAAGTATTTTTTTCTTTATTTACGTTCAATACTTCATAGTGGAAAATTAATCCAGTATTTTGACATGATTGCATGTGTCTTTTTGTATGGATTTGACACTCATTAATTAGATTAGTTCTGACACAGCTAGAAAGAAAGCTCAAACAACTGTTTGGCATAAGAAGAATTGTGTTTGATTTTGTCTGCTTAATCGAAAGCTAAACTATCCTATCTTACAACTTAGTAGAAATGCCGTATCTTACCCCCAGCTGTCAAGTTTTGAGTGATGTTATAATCACTGTTTTATTACAATTTAAAATAAGTAACATGAAGACGTGACACATACGTACATCTAGGAATAAAGTGGATTGCTATATTATCTGAACATGACAATGTTGAATTCATTTTTTTTAATTTTCATCGCGAAGATACAGCAGATTTTTAGTTCCCTCAATGATTGTGGTCAGGTAATAATTATTGCTTGATTTCTACAGTGGTAAACAAACTTGGCCCTTGATTATTCACTGAAAAAATTATGCCTTTCCCCTCTCTTATGATCATTATGACAAGAATTTTTATAGCCTGTATCCTCTAGAGGATATTACTACTTAAGAGGCATAATGTCTCAAATTTCTTGTTCTAATAAAAATCTGTGGACAATATTCATCATAATCATTCAAGGTTATGTCGATTAGCATTCAAATAAAATATATCATGAGGGTTACTGAGTATAGCATCATAATTATAATCTTATATAGTATTTGAATTCCAGATAGCTAGCTTTGTTGTGTCTAAAAAATAGAGCAAATAATTTTGTTCTATAGCAGGGGCATAAAACTCACGACTAGGCTTACTTATCTGTAATAATCATTCAAGTTTTAAATAGAACAAACTGTATGTGTGTATTTGTCTGTACATTGTCTCTTTTGTCTTATTGTTTGTATTTGGGCTTGATTTACTTCATATATTTGCCACATCAAGTCTACTTATTTTGTTTTTAAATCTGAATACTTGAAAACTAATAATTCAAGGCACCGTTGATTCTCACTGCTCCGACAGCACGCCTATGTATTGCACCACAGAGCCAGGTCCTGTTTCCTTTACTCTTAGATTGCACTGTAGCATCTAGAAGTATGGGTCCCCTTAGATGGCGCTGATGCTGATATCCAAGTTATATATCCTAAACAAAGCAGACGACAACAGTGTACGCTAACTTCCGTTTTAAAAATGAACAAAACATGTATCATATACAGACCTATTGTACTGAATATTTATGTTAATTAACGTCCGTGATGTCACGTAATAATAAAGTAAAAAAAAGAAAGTGTGCAATAAAATATTGTTCAACCTATGCATGCTCCAAGATATCTGTGCACGGTTTTCCAAGAGAAGAAAACATACTGCATAAATGGGTGGATGCAATGAAGGTCAATTGAGTCTCTGAACACACAAATATTTGTGGTTTGCATTTTGAAAAAAAAAATTATATTAATACAGGTAAGCAAAAAAGTTTAAAATCAAAATTTCGATAAATATGTAAATTATGTTTAAAAATGACATATTTTTTCTACTGCAAATACAATTATTTGTATGATATTTTGCTCAGCATACTTAAATCTTACGTCATGTTTCTAAAATGCTTTCCGTTTGTATGTTAAGTAGAGAAATTATTTAAACATTCCAAAATAAATAAAAACGATATTCATAATCACCTCGTTAAGCTACCCAAAATCTATTACACAAGAATTGTAGAAGCCTAGATATTGCTGGTTTTACAAGTGCGCACGATTTGTGCACAAGTGCCCCACTCCTCACGACGTACTTCCGGTCCCCCTACACTACCCAACATCATCGCACCACACCACACATCATCTCACCACGCCACTCATCATAGTGTAATAGAAATACCACATTTAGACCCCATTTCAAATAATAAGAAATACTCCCCCTACAAAAATATCGTCGTATAGATAAGCGGTAAAGTAACAGATATCCGTCTTTGGCAACATATCTGGAAATTGTTGATAAGATGTTTAAAAAATTCACAAAAGTTAAAAATCGCGTTTTTTTTAATTACTAAAAAACTTGAGACTGTGTGAAAAAACGTTTCAAATGAAAAAAAAGCCTTGTAAGAAGACCTACTTCAGAAAATGCGTCATTTGAAAGCTTGAATTTTTTTACAAATTAAAAAAATAAATAAAAAAAGTTGCTGTTGTTAACTGGGGGGCTAATTAAATTTTTTTTTTTCGATTGGGCATAACTCCTTCAAAAAGAATTTTTTTTATGGAAATTTTTGGAAAATATACTTAACCGGTTGATCTTCAATGTACGAAATTTTCTGACAAACTGAAGTGATCGTTTCAGAGTTAAACCTTCTCCAAGACAATCGTACTTTCGTTTGACAGCATCGATTTACGACTGATAACATCACTGCTAGTGCTTGGAGGCTCGTACTTATTTGACTCTTCAAATGGAACTGACCGGAAAAAAGCATTATCTCCGGTAGTATTCGCTCCGTGCATGACACGCAGTGCCGCCCTCGGTGTCAGAATCGCGCAATACCGTACCCCCGTATGATTAAATCGTAACACTGTCGCTTATAGGAGAAAGTATTATTTATTGAATAAGACGTACATACTGCTATCGCGTAAACATCAGCACCCTAAAAAATGGATATGATTATCCAAACAGGCTTTAAAAGTATAAGTTGCAACATAGTTTTTAATAATGAAACGCTGAAAAAAGCTAAAAAGTTAGTAGAGAGTGGGCACGTTGCCTACGTACAGGAATATGTAAATAAAGGCGTTGGTCATCTGATCAATTGCTATCTTGTGAGACAAACATCTCTTAGCTTAAATCCATACAAAGTAGAATTATCTGTAAGTACATTATTGCCTATGCTTGACAAATGTAGGTTATGGTAACATATACATAAATGTGTAATTTATTTATCAGATTAACGAAGACCGCTGTATCTCCGACGTATGGGGTCTACTTGGGAATTTATACAGCACCACCCCCTGCTTTTCTTTCTTGTTGCAATTAACAACGCAGCACTGTCTCGTACGCATTTCGTTACTTTGTAAACGTAAACACTGATTCAGATTATACAGCTAGCGGCAGCCTATGTCGACTGCTTGGAGTTCTTGCTCTCACGTATACAACATTACAGATAAGTATGTGTGTTGTGTACCATATGACAGATGATATTTAATAACCCATTATTTAAAATTTCGGGCGATTTGAAGTGCCTAGCAAAATTATTTATCCGTATCATAGACCCGGTTTGGCTAAATAACATTTTTTCTCCGCCTTCGATTTCTCAACTAATTACTTTAAATGAAATAATATCTTTTCTCATATAAGACAACGCTTACTTAAGATTCATGAGGGTACGGGTTCGCCAACTTTGCTCACCTACAGCGCTGCAGTCGTTTTTTTAATCCCCTCCAACCTGATGCACGGAGCGAATAAGACGTAAAACGTTGATTTATTTTAAATGTGGGGTAGCTCGTAAAAAAAAAGTTTAGAACAAGTTTAAAAAAGTTTTAAAGTTTTTCAACTTTTGGAATAAATGTTTAACATACTTAATAAACAACACATATGTGCAAAATGTAAAAATAAACTGATTTTAACGGTTTTGACGAGTCTAACGTTTTTTTTTCTTCTTTTTAATATTTTATTTGATGTGTCAGGGCTGACATTTAAATTATGAATATTTATTTAAAAACAGTAATTAGTGTATGTATCAATAAATATTTAATTTCATTCGTCGATTTCAATCACGAAATAACCACAATTGATATAGAGAAAGACAATCTTCACTCCGACGAGACCATCGACGAAATCATGCTTGCCTGCAGCGTATTAGACAATTCAAAACCAGATCAAGTATTTGAAAGTGAAGATGACGGTGTAGTCAATAATAAAAACGACGATAATATCTAATAAATGTTATAAACAATCGCAACATTTATCACCTGTATGTATTTTTATTTTTATCGTATTGCAATAAAGATTCATTTTGAAATGTTGCCAATGTGTAGTAAAAAAAATTTATTTCGGTATATATATTGTTACGGGGTGCCGGGGGGAAATGACGTAAGGAACAGGACATGCCCTTATGTCCTGCCTTATGTGATTTTGGCCGGGCTTATCAGGCCCGGAAATCCTCGACAGCACTCCTCGTATTTTGTACGGGTCAAACAACCTGTAGACCTTACCTAATGTCACTGTAGTCAAGCCTGGACGTCGGGTGCCTCGTTGGCTTATGTTCAAGGCCACGTACGTCGTCCCTGATACGTGGAGTAGCTAGATATTCAATGTCAGGTATAGGATTGGGACCGCGGAATGGTTAAAGTCGACGACACACACATAAACATGCATTAATAAAGAAAGATTCTCAACATCATGAATAAAAGAAAGTACATTGGATCTAGAGTATTAATTGAACAATAAGAAATCGTGTGTGTGTATATGTGTCTGCAATTAACAATAGAGTACGTTATAATAAACCTCAGTGAGGTGACCGCTGCCCCCCGTATATTTATAACTATAATCGGCGTACAACTTCCGCGTCCTACGCAGTGGGCAGACCTCGCAAGCTAATAGAAACAAACGCGCGCCGAAACACTCGCCTCGACTTACTTGCTTTTCGCTTCGGTTTCTGGCGTAACCGGCCAATAGGTTCCTTGGTACTGCAAGAGGAA